TTTTTGGGAAAAAATGCATCAAAATGAAGTGAGTTTATGCTTAAAACGAGAACAAATGTTAGTGAAAAATTAGAAAAATTAAAACTTCATTTAAAGGGTTATTTTTCTGACCTCATTGGCAGATTAATGAGCAAAACTCGCTTAATTTTGATTATTATCTTAAGTCGTTTTGCATATTGCAACTAAATGTATCGTGATGTAAGAATTAGTGCATCCAAAGTGAAAGTTTTTGTTTACATAATATATGCATGTACTGTGTTTCAGAAAAATATGTTGTTTATATATTAAATATAATATAAATTATATGAATATAAATATAGGCATGTAAATATTTTCAAAATATATACTGTATGTGTGTGTATTTATATATACATAATAAATATACACAGTACACACACATATAGTATGTAAACAAAAACTTTTATTTTGTATGCGATTAATGGTTTGACAGCACTACTAAGAATATTTAGATATTTGTACTGGAAAACTAGACAGAAATACTGAAGCAGAACGTCATTTTTTGCAGTGTTTCAGAGGCCGATTTCACTTCTAAAATGAATGCTGTCTATGTTTATTATATCAGCTGTAATTTTTAGATTGATGATATATTCCTCAGTGCTAACGTGTAAATAATGTCAGTCTGTGGTGTTGTCAGACGCTGAACATGGTGACTCCGACGCTGCGTGTGGAGGACTGTAGCATCGCTCTGCTGCCGCGGAACCATGAGAAGAACCGCTGCATGGATGTGCTTCCTCCGGACCGCTGCCTGCCCTTCCTCATCACCATCGACGGAGAGAGCAGCAACTACATCAACGCCGCGCTCATGGACGTACGCCACCGCACCTCGCCCCATTATTACCCTCTGTCACCGCAAAATTATTAGGATTGCAAAAATTAGATTTTGCATGAGGAAAATTACGTGATTTTTGTGACAGTAAACATTTAACCTTTAGATTCTCATTATTTTAATGCAAATGCATGATCCTCTTTTGATATTGTAATATAGTGGTACTGTAATATAGTGCTAACATGATGTATAAACATTTTGCATTTTAAATTATATATATATATATATATATATATATATATATA